TTTTTTTTTCTCTCTATCTATTTTTTCAATAAAATATCTCGACAGAGCTCTTCAGTAGTAAGACGATGTGCAACAGAGACTGACCTTGACTCTTATTGATTGTCATATATGAAACCATGAGAGGAAACTGGTTGTGCTGAAACTAGAGCGGTGCCCTTAAATCAGATGGTATGATTGTGAGTCTAGGAATAAGAACCTTATCATCAGCTTTGCCATCGATTAGAATTCTGTATTCGAGAAATGACTGCTAAGCTTAGTAATAACCAAATGTGTGCCTTTGCACAACCCCATGGAGTAATCAATGTTTCCGAGCATCATCATTGAAGTGCCGAACTTCAAGTGCAATTTATGATTCAGAATTCCCGAGCACTTAATCCCATTTAAAAATTCAAGAGTATGGAGATCTTGAAGAGAGTCCAACGTCCGACTTACAAGGGTGTCCGAACTCAAATACCTCCTTCACGCGGATGAGTTTAAATAACTCATGTACTCGTCAACGGACTCAATGACCATCAACTATGGGAGGGAGTATGACTTTTTTCCTTGAGGTAGCTAAGATCATCGTCTGCATTTCTGAACATCGGGTAGGTATCTCAGCAATAGTAGCAATAGGATCACCATGTGCTTTTGGAAGAATATCGTCTTGAACGTCGATATCGCCACAACTGTCGTCCGATCCACCGGTTGTCCTGTCGCCAATGCTTGCAAGCCACTTGCGCCTCAACACATCATACTCATCACTCCGACCAAGGGTTCGAGCCTCATATCCGAGTCAGTCTCAGGATAACACAATCGTGAGATATATAACGGGCATATTTTTTATATTAATTTTATTAAAATAATATATCTAAGTTAATTTGTCTTATTTTTTAGACATTCACACAAATATATAATTTTAGATTCCATTATAGAATGCAACCCTTAAATTTACAAAATTGTTTCATTTTGTTTATTATTAAACTACAGTCAAATCATGTATATGAGCTGATGTATTGGGGTTAATTGAGTATGATTTGTGTTTCAACGAAGGGTATAAATATTAATAGTTTATTATAAATATATGTTTATATAATCATCATATTTTTTAGCACTAATATTCATTAAAAATAGAAAAAACCATTTCTTTTAAGTAAATCCAACTAAGAATTACAATCTTGCAGGAATACTTTCACGGAGCTTGTGCAAGGATTTGTATCTTAAATGATTTTTTTTTTTAAAAAATATTTCGGATTGTATCTATATGACTATTACTTCTTTACATTTGAGTAATCAACATACAAATTTTAGAAAAAAAACATTATTCAAACCTAATGGTTTAAACATTATCTCGTCATTATGCAATATGTTACAACCAAATATAGAAAATACTACATGAGTGATATATATTTTTAAACAAATTAGCAAAAAAAAAAAATGTTAATCCTAATGCCTTCGTTACATACTACAAAATTATTCAAAAATAGCTGGTTGATTGTTGGATAAGATTAAAAAAAAAAAAAAAATGTGATGTAACGATTTTTGAAGCGAAACAAAAAGTATTTTTATAAAATACAGGCTCTGCCAGTAATTATATAAATAAATATACATATTTAATTTTATGGATTTGTTTCAATTAATATATATTAATTATATCAGTAATATATACACAACTTATAATACAGGGAGATGCTACAGTCCCGTGGGGATTTGTAACTTTTAGATCAACTATCCCTAATGGTTACATGATAATCTAACGGTTATAAACTCAACGAAGCATTTCGTGCAATATATACACAACTTATTATTATGTTATTATTTAAGATACCATATAGTATTTTTTTTGGTACAGGGACCTTCCGGTTTCCGGATCCACAGAGGAACTGACTAATCTGGAATCGAGCCGGGTAGGACCACAGGGCGGCTAAATATATTTAAAAATATATTTTTAGACTAAAGTTATAATTGAATAAACTGGCAACTGGTTCAACCTGTGAAAGAAACTAGGGCAAGATACCCGTACCTTAAATAGCTCTGAGGCACACAAAAATGGCGTTAGGGCTCTAAACGAAAAACGAAGCCGGATTAAAGGGCTGGGCCGCTGGAGCAAACTACTTATCTCTGTACACACAGCACCAAGGTATCCTGTTCATTATCCAATTCTCGATATTCAATTCGATTTGCCTAATATCTATTGAATCTCAGATCTATTTTATCGCAAAGTCCTCTTGTCGTGTGATTATTCAGATATTAATTAATTTAGCTTCTCCTTATTCTGTAATTTGTTTTGCTGTGGTTTGTGAATTTGTTCTGTTTT